CTTTCCCCTTTTACCAAATTCCACATTCACAAGTTCTAGACACACCTATTCAAGTTCGAAGCTTTGCCCTAGACGTGAAAGGTTGATAATTTATGAGGGTTTGGTCCCAATTCCCTATTTCAATTATTATTTAAATTACTACCTCCGTTAATTGTTATGTCCAACTTTGGAATATTTTATATCTCTCAAATAAAACCCCAAAGTTGCAGATAACAATTAACGGAGGTAGTAATTATTTGATTTAATATTTTTCTTGAAGTTACTAACGCGTGTATTTTGTTATTAGAAAAATATACGAGGCATCCAAGTAAGTAATTAATTTACTGTTGCCCTTGATGTTTTGATGATAACACAAGTCAAATTAGTGGAATAATGAATTTTGTGAGTCCTGTGATTTATCTATTAGTAGCAGGAAGCACTCAAGGCAAAGGAACACGAGGAGCTAAAATAAAAGAGATCAGTTGCAAAGTTCATGTGAAGGAACTAAAGCTTCGGAGCAGAAGCTAAAGAAAGAAGACTCGGAGCAGAGACTTCTTAGAGAAAATAAAGTCTGAAATATTTTTCTATTTTAGTTTTTATGTAAGTGAAAATCAATTAGGGATTAATACTTAGTGGAATGCGTTTAAAAAGATAAGTATCATTGGCTTGCTAAAAAATATGATAGTTTGTTTGGAAAAAATATCTTCTCTAATTTTATCTTTCTTAAAGTTGATATTTTTATTTTTCAGAAAAATATTTTTGAAAACTGACTCCCTAATCTTCACCACTTACGAATTCACTACTTCCTTAAGGCTCAATGTGCCCTGGTTTTTAAGACATGTTTGAAAGATATGGAAGTGGTGGATAGTTGAGGCGTTGATATACAGCAGTGGTGGCGTAAGTTGTGGAAGGTGTGGCGTTTTCACCAAGCAATGTTTTCTTATAAATATTGAAGTTATTTTCTAGATAACTTGACCTTGCTCAAATACTTTTATCTTGCTTTCTTGTTTTCAAAAGAGTCAAGAGTCGCATTCCACTTAAGTGTTTTTCTTAATTGCTTTCACTAGAGTTTTATTTACTTGAGTTGTAATTTGGGAATTGGGAGTTTGAGTGAACTCTAAGAGAATTCAGTAGAGAAAAAGAGAAGAGAAAAGAGAAGAGAAGAGTGGCAAGTTGTGGGACTTGCTACTGGGAACTTCAAGTTCACAGAGGAACTTGAAGATTGATTCTTAGTTTGTAATAGGTTGTTTGCCCTGTTATAGTGAAGAATATTTCCTAAAATCCCAAGTGGTCATGGTTTTTCCTCTTGTTAAGGCCAAGAGCTTTTCAACGTAAAATCTCCCTATGTTTACTTTGAGTTCCTGTAGCTTAGTTTGATCAATTCCGCAAAAAGTTAGCTCAATTCTTACAAACTACAATTCACCCCCTCCCCCCCCCCCTTCTTGTAGTATTCTTCTAAAGTAACAATTGGTATCAGAACCTAATCCTCTCAAAATCAAGAAACGCTAAAGAGGAGAATCTTGGCACAAAATGAATATGCATGAGAAACTTGAAGAAGGTCGGTACTCAACTCAACGACCTCCTATGTTCAATGAGAAATTCTATAAATACTGGAAGAATAGAAAGGAAATCTTCATCAAAGTAGAAAACTATGAAGTTTGGAGAGTCATCGAAGTAGGAGACTTCAAGGTAATTAAAACCAACGCTCAAAACGAGGTAATTCCTAAACCAATGTTTGAATATGAGAAGGAAGAATTTGATAAAATGAAAATCAATGATATGGCTGTTAAACGCTTCATTGTGGACTTGGACCACATGAACACAATCGTGTCATGGGGTGCAAGAACGCTAAGGAAATTTGGGATCTTCTTCAAATAAGGCATGAAGGAACTAATGGAGTAAAACGTTCTAAAATTGATTTACTCAGTCTAAGTATGAACGTTTTGAGATGCAACCCAAAGAATCTATCTAGGAAATGCTTACTAGATTCACTAACATTATTAATGAACTAGTTTCTCTGGGTAGAAAAATTCCTACTGATTAGCAGGTTAGAAAGGTGCTAAGAAGTCTTCCACAAGATGAGCGTTGGAGAGCTAAGGTGCCTGCCCTACAAGAAACAAACGACTTCATGACGTTATATTGAACAACTCGCAAGTTCTCTAATGACACATGAGCTTCATTTAGGAACTGGCTGCAGTGAAGGCAACAGGAACAAGGGCCTGGCTCTCAAGGCCGATCAAGAGGAATCTGAAGTGGATGAAGAAGAGGCTGCAATGTTGGTCAGGCGTTTCAAACGAATGTTCAACAGAAACAATCGGAGCTCGAGAAACTTTCAGAAGAGAACCTCCAATTCAAAACCAGAATATAGCTGTCACAAATGTGGATCAACAAACCACTTCATCAAAGATTGTCCTCAATGGGACATCAAGAAAGGAAAAGGGAAGATCAAGGAACAAGGAAAAGAGAAATACAAGACTCCCTTTTCAAAAACAGATGTCAAGAAAGCCATGATGCTGCATGGGGAGATTCTGATAGTGAAGAAGATGAAGATCAACCAGAAGAGGAGGTAGCAAATCTCTGTCTAATGGTCAAATCAGATGACAGGCGTGCATACCTCAAGGAACTGTAAAAGGAGGTAAGTGAAAGTAACTTTGATAATACTAACTCAGATCCTTATCCAAAGATGCTTTAATTGACTTGATTGTCTAATTGGAAATTAATCTCAATGTTGAATGCATGCAAAGAAATGAATGTCAAAAGGTTCTACAAATCTGGAAAAATCACAGTGCTTGGCTAGAAACTGCACGAAATGATATCCAAACCAGATTTGGAGAACTACATGATAAATACCATCTTATGACTGAGGTGCTTGAAAGAATCAAAAAGGAAAATGTCATGTTAAATGTAGAACTTTCACAATACAAAGTGATAAATACTGATATTGGTTCTAGCAGTTCCTCTGATGATTCTATGCTAAAATTTAATGCTGATTTTGAAAAACTCAAGCTTGATCTTGACAATTTAAAGTTTCAAAAAGATAGGCTAGAAAAGGAACTGCAAAATAGAAAGCATAGAAGTATTGATCCTACTGTAACTCCAAAATGGATTAAAGATGCGCAAGTCAAGAGAACTGAAGGACTTGGGTATGAGTCCAAAAGGAAAGGTAAACAGAAAAAATATGTAGATCTACCAAGTAGCAAAGTTTGTACTTTCTGTGGAAAAAATGGACATTTACACTCTGATTGTAAAAAGAAGATAGAACATGATAAAAGAAATATTAAGCAAGTTTGGGTAAAGAAAACTGATATTGCCTCAACATCAAAGGAACCCAAGGATCCTGGGGTTCCTGAAACTAACGCTTAAGTTTTCTTGTAGGTCCTAGTGAGAAGGAACAACCTATGGTACCTCGACAGTGGTTGTTCAAAGCATATGACAGGAGATAAATCAAAGTTCCTTTCACTAGAGACCTATCTAGGAGGAACTGTGACTTTCGGAGATAACTAGAAAGGAGAAATCATTGCCAAAGGAAAAATTAGAAAGTCATCCTCCTATGCAATATAGAATGTGTTCCTGGTCGAGGGCTTGATGCATAATTTGCTAAGCATATCACAATTCTGTGATAAAGGTAATTCGGTAAGCTTTACTTCTGATGAATGTCATATCTTCAATAACAAGTCAGGAAAGGTTATTCTACGAGGAAAGAGAAGAGGTAACACCTGTGTGGTAGATCTTGACTCAATCCCTAAGAGTAAACTTACATGCTTGAGTGTTATTGAAGATGACTCTCTACTTTGGCACAAGAGATTTGGTCATGCTAGCTATTCTATAATTGAAAAACTCAGGTCAAAGGTCTTGGTAGTTGGACTACCCGCTATCAAGTTCCGAAATGATAAAATCTGTGATGCCTGTGTAAAAGGGAAGCATGTCCGAAATTCCTTCAGAGCTTAAAAGATGGTGAGCACCACAAAACCATTAGAACTAATTCATATGGATTTGTGTGGTCCCATGAGAGTTCAAAGTAGAAGTGGAAAAAAATATGTGTTGGTCATTGTTGATAATTACTCTAGATATACCTGGGTAATTTTCTTAGCCAGTAAAGACAAAACCTTTGATGAATTTGTAGCATTTCCCAAACATGTGCAGAAAACCAGTTGATTCTCCATAATCCACCTAAGATCTGACCATGGTACAGAATTCGAAAATTCAAAATTTTATGAGCTTTTCACGGAACAGGGTATAAATCACAATTTCTCTGCTCCTAGAACTCCACAACAGAATTGAGTAGTTGAAAGAAAAAATCGAACTCTGGAAGACATGGCAAGAACGATGTTAATTGCTAGCTCACTACCAAGGAACTTCTGTGCTTAAGCAATTAACACTGCATGCTACATAATCAACAGGATAACAATAAGAGCAATTTCCAACAAGACTCCTTATGAACTATTCAAAGGGAGAAAACCCAATGTCTCTCATCTTAGATCCTTTGGTTGTAAGTGTTTTGTGAATAATAATGGTAAGAGGAACCTAGAAAAATTTGATGAGAGAAGTGAAGAGGCAGTATTACCTGGTTACTCCTCCAATAGTAAAGCCTATAGAGTTTATAATAAGAACTCATTATGTGTTGAAGAAAGCATTCATATTATTTTCGATGAATCTAACCTGTTTATGAATGTACATGAACAAAAAGAAACTGATTTTGAAATTGGATTAGTAAGAAACAGGACTGAAGATGAAAAAGAAATGAATGAATAGCAAACAAGAGAAGAGCTAGAAGTAGTAGATAATCCTCATCAAGAAAATGGAGAAGGTTCTCAAGAGGAAACTCTAGAAGAACAAGTAAATGAAGAACAAGTCAATGAGGATCAGGTTAGCGAGCTCATGGTGAAGGAACCGAGCAAGAAACTCCTCAAATTGGAGTTCCAGCAAGAGTATTTCATCCTAAACCTTTCAAATATCAAGGATCCCATCCCACTTATCTTATAATCAGTGACAAAGGCAGAGGAACTCAAACCATATCTCAGATGAGGAACTTCTGTGCTTTCAATGCATTTCTATCCATTCTGGAACCTCGAAATCATCCGAAAGATTTGGAAGATGCTGACTGGATTGTAGCCATGCAAGAGGAACTAAACGAGTTTGAAAGAAACAAAGTCTGGCATCTTGAAGCCAAGCCCAAGGAAAAGAAGATAATTGGTCTTAAATGGGTATTCAGAAATAAGCTAGATGAATATGGAACAATCGTGAGGAACAAAGCTCATTTAGTTGTAAAAGGCTACAACCAACAGGAAGGTATTGATTTCGAAGAAACCTTTTCTCCTGTAGCTAGATTATAAGCTATTAGAATACTTATTGCTTTTGCTTCTTACATGGGTTTAAAACTTTACCAAATGGATGTGAAATGTGCTTTTCTCAATGGTTACTTGATGGAGGATATGTAGAACAACCTCCAGGTTTTGAAAATCCGAAATTTCCAAATCATGTGTTTAAGCATAACAAAGCCCTTTATGGTCTTAAGCAAGCCCCAAGAACCTGGTATGAGAGGCTCTCTAAGTTCCTTTTGCAAAATGATTTTAAGAGAGGAAAAGTTGATAAAACCTTGTTTTGAAATTAAAAGGAACTGATCTTTTAGTTGTACAAATCTATGTAGATGATATTATCTTTGGTGCAACTAACGATGTCTTATGCAAGTACTTCACTGATCTCATGAGTGGTGAATTTGAAATGAGCATGATGGGAGAATTAAACTTCTTCCTTGGTCTACAAAACAAGCAGACAGAGAAAGGAATCTCAATTCATCAACAAAAGTATATCAAGGAACTACTGAAAAAGTACAACCTTGATCAAGAAAAAACAAATCACACACCTATGGGAACAGGCACAGGACTAGATGATGATCCAACAAGAACTAGTGTCGATCAAAAGATTACTTAGATACTTGAAAGGAACTGATTAGTGGACTAATGAATTCTGTGAGTCTTGTGATTTATCTATTACTAGCAGGAAGCACTCAAGGAAAAGGAACACGAGGAGCTAAAATAAAAGAGATCAGTTGCAAAGTTCCTGTGAAGGAATTAAAGCTTCGGAGCAAAACCTAAAGAAAGAAGACTCGAAGCAGAGACTTCTTACAGAAAATAAAGTCTGAAATATTTTTCTATTTTAGGTTTTATGTAAGTGAAAATAAGTTAGGGATTAATGCTTAGTGGAATGCTTTTAAAAAAGTATCATTGGCTTGCTAAAAAATAGGATAGTTTGTTTGGAAAAAATATCTTCTCTGATTTTATCTTTTTTAAAGTTGATATTTTTATTTTTTAGAAAAATATTTTTGAAAACTAACTCCCTAAAATTGCGCAACTAACTGTTGATTCAGTCTTCACCACTTATGAATTCACTGCTTCCTTAAGGCTCAACGTGCCCTGGTTTTTAGGACATTTTTGAAAGATATGGAATTGGTGGAAAGTAGTGGCGTTGATATACAACAGTGGTGGCGTAAGTTGTGGAAGGTGTGGCGTTTTCGCCAAGCAATGTTTTCTTATAAATATTGAAGTTATTTTCTTGATAACTTGACCTTGCTCAAATACTTTTTTCTTGCTTTCTTGTTTTCAAAAGAGTCAAGAGTCGCATTCCACTTAAGTGTTTTTCTTAATTACTTTCACTAGAGTTTTATTTACTTGAGTTGTAATTTGGGAATTGGGAGTTTGATTGAACTCTAAGAGAATTCAGTAGAGAAAGAGAGAAGAGAAAAGAGAAGAGAAGAGTGGCAAGTTGTGGGACTTGCTGCTGGGAACTTCAAGTTCATAGAGGAACTTGAAGATTGATTCTTAGTTTGTAATAGGTTTTTTGCCCTGTTATAGTGAATAATCTTTCCTAAAATCCCAAGTGGTCGTGGTTTTTCCTCTTGTTAGGGCTAAGAGGTTTTCCACGTAAAATCTCTCTGTGTTTATTTTGAGTTCTTGTAGCTTAGTTTGATCAATTTCGCAAAAAGTTAGCTCAATTCTTACAAACTACAATTCACCCCCCCTCTTGTAATATTCTTCTAAAGTAACAATTACTTCAAGTATTCTTTTGATATAGAAATCATGATTTGATTATTTTGCTTTCTAGTATCATGCTAGGATTTGTTATTAATCATGTTAGAATCATGCTTAGGGTCTTGCTTATGTTATTATGCTTTTATTGACATTGAATATTATTATGATGATGATTTGTTTAGGGGTGTCAAAAACTTACCCGACCCGAAAGATTTACTTAAAACTGAAATGTTTTTGAACTAGTTGGACCTGGGTATTCTTTATTCGAATCTGATCTAGAGTCGAATCGACGTTATCTCAAAATCGACTCCACCTGGTAATTTATGATCCAAACCCAATTTGAAATCGACTCATATTTAACCGAAACCAATAAGACTTGATAATATAAGATCTGAATTCGATCCATCCCAAAATTAAATTTACCTGAAACCATTTGGACCCGTAAAAATACCACTTTTTACCCAACCTTTAATTATCTGATTTGAAACTTCCCATGACCCAATTAAAACCGACCCGAAATTACTCATAATTCAATTAAACCCAACTTGTTTCTAAACATAACTTTTTGTTCTATCTTGAAATCATATTCTTTACCACTATACATTCGTGGTAGAGAATGGTTGATGGCTCAACCTTGGAATCATATATCCTTACATTTGAGTTACGTTGTTTGATGAAGTCTTTCTAGAGTCAACATTCAAGTTGTGAATTGTAGAATTTATAGAGAGAACAAAGAACGGAGTCATAGTTTCATAGAAAGGAATGATAATTGATTCATTGATACGGAGTACTATAATAAAATGTTAAAATAAATAAATAAATAAATAAATAAATAGTAACGATTGAGATACCACAAAAGTAAGGCAAAGCAATAAGAATATGTTTGAATCGAGTCAATATCATAGGAACAGTACATTGATCGATATATTTTAATCCAGATTTTAGCACTCTAAAGTAAAAAAAAAATAAAAAATCCTATATTATCATTATATACCATAAAATATGCTTCCAACAATGTATAAAATTTGAAATTTATAATATAAATATGTATATATGATATATTAATGTGATTAGGTGTGTTAGATACACCTGATTTTGACGAATATGTATTTATTTTAGCTTAATTGAGCTTCTAAATTTATATAAAATAATTCTAAATTTATTTGAAGTTATATAATTGTATCTAAATTTATCTAAACTCATACTCCGTATCAATTTGAAACTATTTGAATTTATTGAAGTTAGCTGAAATTATATGAACTTATAAGAAAATATCATAATTATATGAAATAATCTGAACAAATATTAATTTATCTTAATGTATATGAAATTATTCGAACTTATCTAAATTAATTTAAACTAAGGTTAATTTATCTGAATTAATATGAATTTGTATAAACTTATCTAAAATTATATGATATTATCGATATGAACTTAGGGCCTGTTCACTTCAGATTAATTTCAGTTCAGTTCAATTCAGCTCCAATCAGTTTAATTCAGCTCTAATCAGTTCAGTTCATTTCAGTTCAACTCCTAATATTCCAAATTCAAATTATTGGACCCAAAACCGAAACTAAAGTATTATAACAGAGAATGAGCTAATAGTCGAAGTAACCACATTCAAATTTTAACCGGAACTGAAGTGATTTGAACCAAGATCTAATCGAATTCGAAATAACCCGATCCAAAGTCAAATAAATTCACTTTGACCCAAATAAACCCAATAAAATCCGGATCCGAGTTCATCTTAACTTGATATGACTCATCTTGAATTTGATTCGACCCAATTCAATTTGTATCCGACCATACTTGAACTCAACTTTAACCTGAATTTGATGAAGCTCAACCTGATTTGATTTGGTTTGTAAGATTAAAATGACCCATCATTACCCAACCCAAACATCCCGACCCGTCGTTGCTTGATTATTATTATTGTTATTGCTTGATCACGCCCTCTCTTGCAGGATTAAAGGGAATTTGTTCTTGTAATCACGCTTAATAAGATAATTAATAATCTTTGTTTAGGCTAATATGATTATAATTCAAGTGATCGTCAATAATAGATTTGTTTATGCATTAACACTACTACAAAATTGCCCAAAGAGACTCGATATAAGAGACCGGTTAAGTGCATAAAAGGTCTATCCCCTAAGAGAGAACGGTTATTGTGTACGAAAGGTCTCTCGACAGATCAAAGGGACCTGTCATTTAAGAAAATGGGTCTCTTGAAATTTTTTTAGAAAATCGAGGAATATAGAGAGACCATTCATCTTAAATGACAGGTACAAGTAATATTCAAGAAACCTGGGATTTAAAATAACCGGTCTCCTGAATTTTATTTTTTGAATTGAGAAATTAGAGAGACCCGTCAGTCTTAATAACAGGTCTCTCAATTTTATATCCCATGTAGGCAGCTAAAAAGCCCATAACCCTAGAATAATCTCTTCATTTTCTCTCTCCTGTCCACCGCCACTTCTCATCTCATTTTTTTCTTTCTCTCTCTTCTCCCTCTTGTCAACTCCTTATCCTCAATTTTTTTTGGATTCTAAAGAGAATCTCACACAACAAGAGATACAAATTTCATCCATTATTTCTTTCGATCTCAATTTCAGGATGTTATTTTCACTTCATCATGTCAAAATTTCAAGATCTATCGTCAAGGTGAGTCTTGTATTATTTTTCGCTATTAATTTTTTATCTTAATTTTTTCATATTTTTAAAGAAAAATGTGAATTTCTTATAATAATTACTTTTTAACTTCATTTTACGAGTTAAAAATTTATTGGTTTTTCGTTTAGTCATGATAAAAAGATTGTTTCTTTATTTTGCATGTTAATGAATTCGTTTTAAAAAAAAATTTCGCCATTCTTTTTTTTTATGAAATCTGAGTCTGGAATGTGATTCCAATTTCGTTTGGAGGTGGTTTTTCATTTCCTTTTATTTGGTTCTTTACTTTTTTTTTTTTTTTTTTTTTTTTTTTTGCTTTCTTCTTTCCTATCAAATCTAGTATTTTTCGTTATTATTGCTCACTTTTATATGGAGTCAGATCTTATATTTTTCATTATTATTAAGTTCCTATTAGATTTTCTATTTTCATTTTCATTTTCTATTTCAATTTTTTTAGATTTAAGTTTTGGTTTTTTATTTTTGTTTTTTAAAAATCTTTTTGAAAATTGCTTGACAAATTGTTCTTTAGCTTGTTTTTGGAATTAGTTTTTTTTTTCTTGTTTTGATTTTGTGTTCAATCATCATATTAAATGAATTTTATTTTACATCTGGTATTTCATTAATACAATTGAACAATTTCTCTATCATTTTTTTTTTATTATAAACGAATTTTATTTTACATCTCTTCTGAATTTTTCTTTTTTCAATTCTGTTATAATTGTTCAGATTTGTTTTCTAGATAATAATATTTTCTTTTTAGTTATTTATTTACATGTCTTTATCTGTGGTTGTAGGTAATTATCCCTCAAGTTTCAAGTTTGAACAGAAGAAACTTGTAATTTTTTTGAAGCAGAAGAAACTTATAATTGAAGATCTTTAAAGTTTCAATTTGTCATTAACAGAAGTTTTATTTTAATGTATTGAATTAGTAATTTAGTTTTAATATATGTACTATGTATTGTCTATGTACATAATTTTTTATGTTTATGAAATACAATAATTTATTTGTAACTCCGTATCTGATAATAAATCAAATTGAATAGGTTAATATTAATAAATTGTTGTTATAAAAATAAAATAAGCTAATTTTTTTTTACTTAAAATGAGAGCGTATAGACCTGTTAGCTTAAAAGCGGTCTCAATTTTATCAAAAAGACTAAGATATGCGGCCCTAGTTTTATGAAAACAGAGACCGCTTTTCTTATAAAGGCAGTCTCAAATTTTTCAAAATTGAGA